CATTGTGTTTGTTTCATATAGAGCCAAAGATGTTAGAATTGTGTCGATGTCCCAATATTTCTGGACCTGACTGTATTTTAAAGATATTTTTAAAATGCATATTAGATAAACTTGTTTACAAAATATGCATAAATGGAAAGACTTTTTAATGTATTCTGTTTAAATCAAAATTATGAAATGATACAGAAGTACAGCGAATCACACAGTTGGAAAAATGTGAAACTTGTAAAGAAATTAGGACTTTAATTTGTGCCAGCACCTGCCATTGTTAATCTTACTATGCACAAAATGGTAGTTTGGAAGGAAGATTTACTATATAAAGTAGCGTTGTGAATGTACAGATGAAATTATAAACTGATGTTAATAGAGGCATCTCAGTTTTTCTGCCAAATACTCTCAGAGAATCAGGACCACATAAACTTCCAGTTTTTCTCCACAGTACAGGGAGTCCTTGCTTAATGAGTGCCCTGTTTAGCGACTGTTTGAAGTTACAGTGGCACTGAAAAAGTAACTTTATGACCGGTCCTCGTACTTAATGACTGTTGTAGCATCCCTGTGGTCACATGATTGATATTCAGGCACTTTGCAACCAGCAGGCGTTTACAACTGTCGCAGCGTCCTATGGTCACGTGATCGCCATTTGCAGGCTTCACAACCAACTTCCAACAAGCAGAGTCAATGGAGAAGTCGGCAGTGAAATCACAAGTTGCAGTCATGTGATGTCTCACTTAACGACCACATCACTTAGTGATGGAGTTGCCTGTCACAATTTAGTCCTTAAGCAAGGACTACTTGCACTGTTTCCCATCATGGTGCCTTTATGGAATAGCAGCCTTCCCCAAGTTCAATGTCTCCAGATGTATCATGCTGCAATTGCCCACTATATTGCAAGGTATTCTGGAAATTCTAATACAGTATAGCTGGAAGATGCCCCATTAGGGAATTCTTCTGTTTAGAGCTTTTTAATTCAGACATTGTAATAAGCCATGGTATGTTTTATTTCTTGGTACAGGACAGTCTTTCAGTGGCCAAGGATTGTACTATATGTTTGTTTATTTTGGGTGCCTATGCCCATCAGTGTATAAGGTAGTTTCATAATTTTAGATGTGTTACTTTTCCCAGGCTTGACATGCCCTTCTAGTCTGACTTTATTTTTAAATCTTTTTTATCATTGGCCACCTAATTTTCATAGTGTGATTTCACAGGGTTCCAGGATCCATAAATAGCATTTCAGAGGCCACATGCAGGTCACAGCTGTAAACTGTATACTTCTAGTTTGCTTTAGAGTAACAAGCCACAGTTTGAAATTATGACCTATTGGGAACTTACTGATTGCAACACTGTGATGTGCATATGGTTCATTTGTGGCTTCCTAGCTTCTTTGTGGTTTGTTTTTCTCTGCTATTCTCTCTAAACCATCCAGAGACATGCAAGACATCAATAGCTAAGACAAAAAACAAATAAGAGTTTTTTGCTTTGCTTGTTCCACAGATTACATTCTTTGTTCAACAAACTATGGTTTGGCTTAATATACAGATGTTTTTGCATTTCATGCTTTCAGCTACAGTTTCAAAGTTTTTTTGAAAAGATACACTGGTAACTTGGATCTTCCAATAGCTTGTTAAAAAAAATAGGCCAACCATTAAATGCAAAATAATTTAAATCCGTGACAAGAAAACAAAGATAAATACCTTTAAATGAAAAGTACGTAACAATTTACGCTTTTTAGTAAGTACACTAAATACTTAATCACTAAGTAAATTAAAATGTTCCTAGAATGACTTTTGATTTTTTACAATTAAAACAGGAAGATGGTTCAGAAGTTGGTGTAGGAGGTGCCCAAGTAACTGGTTCTAACACACGGAAGCACATATTGCAAGTCTCCACTTTCCAGATGACAATACTCATGCTTTTTAACAACAGAGAAAAATACACTTTCGAGGTATGAAGCCTTTGTTAGCTGTACACTTTCAGCTATCTTTTGAAATGCTTTTATCTTCCCAAATTATATGAGAAAAGGGGATTATTCATATCTTTGAGCAATTGTGTAGGAAATTCCTGTGCGTGATATACAATGTTAATACATGGAATAATGATTAATCTTACTAAACCTCATTCAGGAATAACTTCACTTGTTAATTAAAGTCTGAATATGCCACATTTGTTATGCTTTTCATTCTTTTGTTTAGAAAACAATCTTCAAATTATTTTACACCATTGTAGATTAAATTGATGTGCTGCAATCCCCCCCCCATTATTTTTAATTAAGGTATTTAGTTGCAACATTATCATTTTGATGTTGCATATTTTTTCCATAATGCTCACTTTTGTTTGCCATGTAATAAGGTATGAAATGTGGGTGGCATGGTAGTAACATTTAGGTTATTCCATTTAAATGTCACCACATGTGGTATTGAAATTCAGTGTGAAATTAAAGAACAAAGCAATCTTAAAAGTGAATACTTAGTGGATTGGCAATTTAGTTAAAACTTCTTTTTAAATTACATTTTAAATCAAAGTTGATTTTGTCCGGTAAATATTTAATTATATTGTCCTAGTTTGGTATTTAAAGTATTTTGTGAAGAATCTTGCTAAGAATAATTGCCAATTATTCAGCAAGTGAAAAGAGCTTTTTCTGGACTTAGACATTTTGAACTTGAAATTCAGAATTGTGTTTTTGAATGCACTTTCACATTTTTATTTAAAAAATCTTTACTTTGAGAAAAAATGGATATCTGGGTGTGTTTCTAGCACCCTACTTTTTGAAGTGGTAACAGGCAACACAATGAGGCAGAATTATTGACTATTCATTATCTGTGTTACAGAGTATACCATGCTATTGTACAGGATGGGCAACCTGCAGGCGGCATACAACTCCCCAACATCTTATTTGTTCCCCCCAATATCTGAAGATCACACCACATAAATTCAGCCACTAAATGCCCAATTTGGAGTGGGGTTATGTGTTTTTTCAATAGCAGTGGGAATGGGAATAAGAAACCTCTGAAGAGCAAACTATTTCAGTTTGCACTCTTCACTCCATGCTTCCTGGAGGCTTCTCTTCACTCCCACTACTAGACCCCTTAAAAATGCCAAAAACAGGCTGAAAAATTTCAGTAATGCTCTTTTGGTGACATCACTGTACAATCAGATTCTCTTCTGTGGCCTTCAGAAGGTCAGGAGACTGAGCTGTTGTCCCCAAGGGCTCTTTTTTAATTTTCCTTGCTATGTATAAAATCTTTTCTTCAATTTAATTCAGGAGATACAACAAGAGACAGATATTCCTGAAAGAGAGCTTGTACGAGCACTGCAGTCCCTTGCATGTGGAAAACCAACACAACGGGTTCTCACAAAGGAGCCAAAATCAAAAGAAATAGAAAATGGACATATATTTACAGTGAATGATCAATTCACATCCAAACTGCACAGAGTCAAGATTCAAACAGGTATGTTCACTTTTACTCTTAGCTGTCAATTTCATTATTTATTGATTGCCAGTTGCTCTCTCTCACTCCCTTTACCACAGCTCCTCCCCTCCAGCTTCTCGTCCACTGATTTCAAATATGCTACTGTCCCTTCAAAAAAAGGAGAAAAAAACTCTTAGTTTATTTCCCATTCTAATTTACCACCTGTCTCCTTTCTAGAATTTGCTTCCAGACTTTTGGGGTGTACTGCTTACTGCCATTGTTTTATCTTTCTCTTTTTTTGATACCCAGTCTCTCCTATACATTCCACTGAAACTGCCAAATCTAAAGGTTTTCATTCTCATATTTCTGGATCCAGTCCTGTTTGACTGTTATTTATCAGTTAGCTCTCAGTGATTCTGTACTAATGTAATTCTCTGTCTAATTGTTCTTTCAAACTCTTCTTCAATCTTTCTCTCTCTGAGGGTTTCCCTCAGAGCTCAGTCTTTTGTCTATTTTTCTCTGTATATTTATTTATCAAATTTATGTAGCCACCCATCTCACAGGAAGTGATTTTGAGCAGCGTACAACAATCAAATAAAAAACAATATATACATAAAAACAAAAATTTAAAAGGTATAAAAAGTCAACATTAAATATAGCAGTTAATTAAAATTTTAAAAGTACACACCCCAGGCAGAAAGAGACTAAATATATCCACCTCAGTAGTGGAACCATCGATACATATCTCCACTTCCCTGGGACACCCAGGCCTGGTGACATAACCAGGTCTTGAAGGACTTCCAGAACATCAGGAGGGATGGAGGTAACCTAATATTGGGGGGGAGAATGTTCCATAAGGTGGGCACCATGGCAGAGAAGGCCTGCCGCTGGGACCTACCAGTTATAAGTCCCTGGCAGATGGTATCTGTATCATGCCCTCTTTTCCGGATCTAATGGGGCAGGCTGATATAATCAGGAAGAGGCTGTCCCTCAAATAACCTGGTTCCATGTCATAAAGGGCTGTAAAGGTTAAAACCAGCATCTTGAATTGGACCCTGAGCAGAGGTGTAACATGTGCTGACCTAGGAGCACACGTAACTGCCCATGCCACTGCATTTTTTAGCAGCTGAAGCTTCCAGATACCCTTCAAGGGCAGCCCCATGTAGAGCGCATTACAGTAGTCCAATTTGGAGGTTACTAGGGCATGAGTGACTGAGCAGAGCCTCCCAATCCAGGAACAGGTGCACCTGGCAAAGGCCCTCCTAGCTGCTCTTTGAGCAGGAGTCGAATCTAGGAGGACCCCCAGATTGCACACTGGGTCTGTCTGGGGCAGTGCAACCAAGGATGGCATAGTCCTAGAGTCAGTAGGCCCCAAAACCAGAGCCACTCAATCTTACCAGGGTTCAGCTGAAGCCTGTTGTTCCCCATCCAGGCCCTCAAAGCATCCAGGCCCCAGGATAAGGCATTCACAGCATCACTTAATTCGCCTGGGGCAGATATGTATAATTGGGCACCATCAGTGTACTGAGGATACTTCACCCCATGGCAACAGATGAGCTCCTATTTAACATAACATGAGGATATCTTAAATAGGAGAGGGGAGAGCACCGAACCCCATGGCACCCCACATAACAAGGGCCAAGGGTGGGATCTCTCCTCCCCAATCATCACTGATTGGAATCAACCCTGAAGAAAGGAGGCGGACCAGCACAACACTGTGCCACACCCCCCCAATCCTCTGAGCCAATCCAGAAGGATACCATGGTCAATGGTATCAAAAGCTGCCAGGAGGTCAGGTAGGGCAAGGATGGATGAACAACCCCCATATTGCCCATGCCAGAGATCACCCAAAATGCCAATTCTGCCCCATACCCAGGTCTGAATCCTGACTAAAAAGGATCCAGATAATCTACTGTTGCACAACCATCTTCTCAACCACCTTTCCCAAAACGGGGGGGCTAGATACTGGACAAAAATTGTCCAGTATAGTGAGGTCTAGCGATGGCTTCTTGAGAAAGGGCGAACCAAGGCCTCTTTAAGAGATAAAGGAATAACTCCCTCACTCAAGGAAGGATTAACCACCATTAGAACCTTCTCACAGGACACCCCCCAGGCCACTTTCACAAGCCAGGAGGCGGATGGTTCTAAAAGAGCAAGTGGCTGAGCTCACAATCGTAAGGACCCTGTCCACTTCCTCAGATTCAACAAATTCAAACTGTTCCCTGATAACCGGCCAAAACTCCACCCCAGGCATCTCTTCTGGACCAGCAAGAAGACCGGAGTCCAACTGCGAGCAAATCTGGGTTATTTTGTCCAACGGATGGGAGACTTGGGCAAAATGTCTCTCACTAAAATATTTGGCTATACTTTATATTACAGCTTCATGAGAAGCATCAGTCTTGTTTCAAAAGAGGAGCAAGGTATCTCTTTCCTTCCAGATGTTGCCAAATAACTCCCAACATCTGTTGGATGCATAATCAATTAAAGATGCTAGGAGTTACAGCTGGGAAGGCCACAAGATCCTCATCCTTGTTTTAAGGATTGAAAATGAAACAGGTTTAATTATTACTACTGGATCACATTGACTTGGCTGTTTTTTCAAAGAGTCAAAAGATTACTATTTTTAAAAGTAATACCTTTATTTTAACTGTGGAAGTCTATTTCCTGTTCTTTCAGTTGCTGCCAAACAAGGAGAATCGGACCCAGAAAGAAAAGAAACAAGACAGAAAGTAGATGATGACAGAAAGCATGAGATAGAGGCTGCTATAGTGCGGATAATGAAATCTAGAAAGAAGATGCAACATAATGTGCTAGTAGCCGAGGTAATTTAATTAATTAATGAAATATTAAAATTAAAATATTTTTTAAAAGTTCCTAAACTTTAAAAAAATTGAAATTAAAATTTCACAGTAGCAAGAAGCATGAAAACTTTTCAGTTAAAAGCCAATTATGTTTTTACAGTCCTTTAAAAGTACAAGTACTCACAAATGGAGTTAGGCACATACCCCTCAGGAAGGGCTTCTGTTGAATTGGATGATTCTTTTTCTAGGATACTCTCTAGTACTAGCCAAGCTTATAATCTTAATAATAACCTTAAAAGTAGTTCATACCACCAAGACTAGTGATCCTTGTTTTAAAAAACTTACACTATATTTAATATGCCACCTTTTCTCTGGAAGGAAATTATCTAGACCCAAACCACTTCATTCTCAAGACCAGCACCTTGAATTGGCCGTGGAAACACTAGCTTCCATATGGTGTATTATAGTTGGTCTAATCAATGTAACATAGCATATTTAAATGAAAGCAAGCTTGCTTTTCCTAGACAGTTGCAGCTGAGATGGAAGGGAAAAAAAGTAAATATACCTCAAGTAAGCTTCACTGTATGCTTGCTTACTTACTTACTGGAGTCATGCAATATTTTTGACAACAGTGCTGAGGTTGTTTGCCATCCCCATATTTTGGGATTTTTTTGACTTTAATTTACTGCCCTGGTATCCAAGTACTAGCCATATCCATTCCTGATTAGCTTCCAAGCTCAGTGCTTCCACCTGCTTAGAGACACTCTTAGCTCCAGCTGCCATTTACATGTTTATAGTCAGTGATGTTTACCAAAGGACCCCAGGATACAGAATTAGTTTTTATGAAATGTATAAAAACATCAATAATCAAGAAAGCATCCTGCGTTTCTTGCTTTTCACACAAAGCCAGTATCCAGGCCTCCTTCCGTGCTAGTATAAATAATATTAAAATACTTTTACCTTCTTTTCCAGGTAACTCAACAACTGAAGGCACGATTCCTACCCAGTCCGGTTGTTATTAAAAAGCGTATTGAAGGACTTATTGAGCGAGAATATTTGGCACGAACACCTGAGGACCGCAAAGTATACACTTACGTAGCATAAAATGTGTTCCACAACTATGATTTATTCTTGGACTATACTCTTCGCATGAACTGGGAAGTTCTTTTAAAAATCATTAAATATTAAGACGACCATATCTTCTATTAAATTACAATACATGTTCTAGACCAGTCAGATCAAGCCTTTACTCCTTCAGAAAGTTTTTCAACATCAAAATGATTGAGCTTCAAGCTTCTCAGCATTTATCCCTGTAGAGATCATCCTTACAGTTTCCTCGGGAAAATGTGAATGTGCCGCGTTTTTGTTTTCAATACTGTATGAAAACAGGAAAAAAATAAAAACAAATTTAGAAAATACAGCTCATTAAAAAAATAAAATTGTTGGAATTTCATTTCCCCTAATCTTCAGTGTTGATGTAAATGTGTTTTCTGTAGTGTTGCTTAGCACTTTGTGCATTGTATACGTTGGGTTACAAGAAAAACACAGATGGTAAGATTGAATTTCCAGAAATACTGCTCTGCTTTGGACATTTCTTTAAAGAACCATGATTAATTTACTATTTGGTAAATTTATAAAAACCTGATAATATAATTTTAGCATGGTTTTCCTCTCCACCTGCATCATTCATATTCCAGTTAATATAAACAAGAACCTTGTTTTCGGCACAATTATGGGCTGTAATATTTGGCCTTCCCTTTTGTCATTTGAGATCTTCCAAATTAAGTTGCATACTAATTAGGTTTGTTCTGGTTTCTTTATAGGAGAAATGGGAAAACATTAGTGTGTATAAATTGTATGATACTTTTTGCTGTTGTATTCACTGCTCATAGTGGATTGTACAGAGCGATGTTTTTATTTCACTCAATGTAGACAAAACAAATTTAAAATAAATGGATTTAGTGTACACAGAGCACTAATTCAAATGTATTAGAGCACAGGGATGGCAATTTATTAAACTAAATACTGCCCCTTGGAGAAGCACATTAACCTATGCTCTGTTCATGAGGTAGAAGGGGATTTTATGGCTTTTTGATTTCTCACTTTTCAGAAGGTTCAAGTGAAGCCATTGTGCACTATTAATTTACTGTTTTAAAATGCAATCTTAAAATGCAATAAATATTGTTACTTTGATCTTATTAAATCTCCAATTCTTGCAACAAGTACTTTCTCCTTCTCAAGGTGGGTAAAGATGAAGTTTGACTGCTCCCAATGCTTTTAAGACTTGATTTTTTAAAAATTGCAATAGCCTTTTACTGTATAATCTGACACCAAATGAAATTTTATATAGTTCCTATACTTTATAACCTATTTTTACAGCAATTAATTCACAAACGTTCTGTCTTTTGTGCGCAAATACTGAAGTGCTGCTGTTCAATTTAATTTTAGCTTAAGTTCAAAAAATAGTATTTGGGTGTAACAGAATAAGATTTTTAAAAAAAATGTATAGCAGGTACAGGCAAGGGAAACTGTGGGGGGAATTATATTTTGACCTGTAAAGCTGAAGTTTTGATTGAGCTTTTCATGTGTTGTTTGTTTATACGTCTATATAGCAGATACTTTTTCAGTAGAGCAATGAATACTTACAGCCTGCTTAAGCAGATAAGGGTGGTGAACCTGGTACTGCATTGTAGGGTTGAGCTTAGTAATGAATGCTTTCCCCTGACATTTCACTGTCTAGAGGGTTTCTGTTTTTGTTTTTCCTTATTTTTTTCTGGTATGGGGATCATTCAGCCTTTTTGAGTTATTGAGTTCTTGTCTGCAATATGAAATGCTTTAACAAATACAGGCAGTGGTCTTGCGGTTGGGGCTGCTAATGTTAATAACATTAATTAGACCAGTTAAGATGCACTTAATTCCTTTTTGTGATATTGCATCATTGTTTCAGAACATTATTTTATTTTTTTAAAAAAACATGTACAGGTAATTCTAGGTTAACAACCATTCATTCAACCATTTGAAGTTATGACACTGCTGAACAAGGAGACTTACAGCCAGTCCTCAAAGTTGTGGCCAATGCAGCATTCCCACGGTCACATGATCATGATTTGGGCACTTGGCAACCGGCTTGCAATTATGACAGTCACAGCATCCCATGATCACATGATTGCCATTTGCGACCTTCACTGCTGGCTTCCCATAAAGTCAGTGGGGAAACTGGCAGGAGGTTGCAAATGGTGGTCATGTGATGTCACACCTACCAATCACAACTGGAACTGCCAGAACTGCCGTCATAAATTGCTGTGGTCACGTGACATCATGCTTTACGACCACGTCACTTAGCAACAGAGTTCCCAGTCCCAATTCCCATTATTAACTGAGAACTATCTGTATATATTTTAATGCCAAGATATAGCTAGTAGGCACATTTATGTTTTAACTCCTAAATATATGAATTATGTCTCAGGCTTTAACTGAAATTCATCATTTACATAAAGATTATTTTGCTCGATAGAAGTCACATCCAACCACCTGTTGGATACCAGTTAACACCAAGCATTTGTACACTGCAATTTCTATATAAGGCTGCTTGACACTTAGTAAAGGCCACATAAACCATAGAATAATTTGTCTTATCACAATATTATGACAAAATGCCACTATAACTTGATGATGGAAATCGATTTATTTGATAAATAATGTAAGGCATTTCTATAGTCTTCATTCAACACAGCTTTATTATGTAACGAAGTGGAGACTTCCCCATTTGTCATAGAGTTCATATACAGAGAAGAATGATCAAGCAAAAATGTGAATTTTCAGAAGATGTTTGGACTCTATATATGGCAGTTTTAGAATTTGATAC